TTAGTCTCCAAAAGCAGCACAGTCAGCTGCACAGTGGGTGTCTGTATGGAAATATCGTTAGAATGGACTTGAGGGGGTTTTTTATGACTCTTAATGGTCGAGCTTACAGTAGAAGACAACAGAAATTGAAAATTTAGTGTAGTGTCTAGTAAGTACTTGTGTTCAGAGCTCCAAAAAACGGCTTTGTGAAAACTTCTGAAAATATTTTTAACATGAGGTTGCTTTGTTACTTGGATTTTCTTCCTAATTTTCTTTCCTCTGATATCTGTTTCTCTTTCACAAGCAGGAGCAACCGTCAGGGTAACAGGTATCTAACTATTTACCAATCTTGTATGTGGTCTCCATCTATTCGAGCAGAAAAGATGTATGAATGTTGTTTTCATACATCTGCAGTCCCACCCCCGTTAAACACCACCTGTCTGCATTCATGGATTGACTGTCATACCATAGTTTGCTTTTTCCTTTCATAGTGCATTTAAAAATGAGACTGCTTTTATTAAGGCCAGAGCGACTATTTTGTGTCATCATCCTTTTCTGAAATAATTGGACCCTCGCCTACGTTGCTTAGTCACTGCTGAGCCTCCTGATCTGTCTGTTCGGGGAAAACAAGATCAGTGTTGGCAATAAATGTCCTCTTTAACGCAAATAAATCCTGGTGCTACTGCACTGCCAAATTCTTTTCCAAAATAAGCCTCATATATTGCATTGCTCAAGGAAAAGAGAACTTACTGTGACCCAAAGTAAAACAAACTGTTACAATTGTAAAAACACTTGGTTCCAGAATTACTCAAAGCAAATTTTTACTTAGAATAAGGAGCAGTTTGGATTCCTAGTTTCTTTGGGATCTTGTACTTTAAAATGACCACAGGACTTATCCAGCTGGTGCCAGGCTGCATTTGATTTCTATTGCTTCTACCGTTCAATTTTCCACATTTTTCCCTAAGTTACTCAATACCTTTTGTTTTAATATTATTCTGCAAAAAACTTCAACTGTAGACAGCCAATTCAACTGTTTCGGTATGTTAATTTTTTTGTTAAAATCATAAAATCTTTTTGTGACATGTGAACTCTTAGAAGCTGTTTTAACTTAAGCTTAACTCATTTGATAAGGGGAGGCTCCAAACTCTTTTCTGTCAGTGTGCATACTGAATAAAGTAGATACTCCACCTTTTTGGACAGCTTGTACAAGGTAAAAAATACCTTGCATTGTTGTTTGAAGCAGTGTATAAAACCAAGAATATTTTGGTTTTAAAAGCTGAGAAGTTCTGTGGAGAAAACTGTCTTCTCCAAGGATAACTTGTTATTTTAATTATGAAAACAGTGATTGTCCCTTCTCATGACAATAAGTACTGCAGATGCTTACGGATGCCTGACAACATAGAAATGTCTGACTGCATATACTAATAACAAACACTAATGTTTCCTTTCATTGTGGTGCTGTCATGCTGCTTGTAACATCAGTATGATAAACTCCCAAACAATGTAACCTAGAGCTTTTCATTTCATAGTTGTGCTGGGCTATCCCTTGCTTAGAATACAGTAGCATTTCCTGAACATTTTCTTATCCAGAGTTCACTTTGTTTTTTGCTGGGATTGGGACCTGCAGGAAGCAGGTTCCAGCTGCATTAACCACTGAGAAGGGGGGAGTGGTGTTTAACAACTTACAGGCTTTTCTTTAGACAGGGGGTTCAGGCTGTTGTTTCCGTTCTGGTTAAAACCAACCTGGGTTGAAGTTTCAGCTGAGGAGTGAGAAGGGGGGCAGTAGGAATAACCTGGAACCAGCTGCACGATTCCTAAGCACGTTGCTTCCTTTGCAGCTGAATCCCAACGGGACGTACGGCGCTAACCCTGAACCCCAGCTCAGCAGTGACCCTTTTGAAGACCTGTCATTTCAGCTGCTCGTGTCCAAGATGCAGACATCTGTCCGAACATCACCTGCTCCAACCTTAGACCAGAAGGAGTTGATGCAGTTGCCTTCAGCAAGGCAAAGAAATGCGGATGATTCGAATACTGTAAATTGCATGTCAGCAATGCCTCCTATTTCAACCTTTCACTCATCCCAGGAACATCAGCGCAGCTCTCCAAATCCATTTATTACTGGGCTGAGCTGCTCAAATCCATTCACTGAAAGAACTCCTAATGCTGGGAACCCATTTAGGACGGAAACACGGGAGTCTAGGATAACCTCACTGGTAGGACCTGCTGCTTCCCACCCATTCCCTCCTCTGCCCCCCCCCAGCTGTAACACAAGCAAGCCTCTATTTCCTGTGGATGCAGCTGAAAATATGTTTTCCCTGCGAAGTAAATCTCTCAAGGTAGAAAACATACAGCCCAAAGGGTGGGTGACGTTTGACGAGGACGAGAACTTTAACACGAAGCTGAAGCCATCTGCGAGCGTTCCGGATTTTACGCGACTCGGCTCCGGGAAATCAGCTGGATGCCCAGGTTTGCTGGGAGCTGAACAGAAGACTTTCCTTGGTTCAGACTTTAACTTTGATGGTGACTGGAATAAAAGCTCGACTGATTGCTTCTGTACAATGCCAGCAAGAAAGCCACCTGCACCCCCTGTGCCATCCAGAGCAACCAGCAGCAGGTCCCCTGCAGATCCCTCCCCGGCACCCAAGGTGTCACCTACTCATGATTTTACAGAAAGATAGGTGGTCAGAGATCCAGAAGGTTATATCTGTTCCTACATTTATCCATTAGAATAATTGGGCATTTGAGATGATTGTGTGTGCAATAATTAGTTGTTAAATGCACTGAAACTTAACTCTGCTCATAAACAGCCACTTCAGCTTGTGTATAAATTTTGAATGTGTATATATGGTAGAGCACAAAAAAATGGTCTGAAGTTTATTAAAATCTCAGTGTAATAGTGTATAATTTGAATAGACAAAAAGAGAAGGGTGAGCTACTGTCTCACTAAAACCTATCAATCCTGGACACAGATTTTTGCTTAGGGAGCTCTTTCATTTCTGTTCTCCTTTGTGGAATGTCACAAGAAGAGGCTCCCTGCTGGTAGCCTCCCCCCTCCCTTCTGACTGTTTTGTTAGTTGATATTTATAAGTATTTACCAAAGAGCTGCCAAAGTTTATGGAGATTTGAATGTTGACAAGTATTGTTTAGAAGCTGTTTAATTTATAACAGAGGCTATGGGTATTTGTAAGGCTTATATTTGAATCTGAGGCACAACAAAAATAGTTTACTTTCAAAGTAGAAACAAAACTTTGCATATTAATATATTCAATTAATCTCCTGTGTCAGTACATTTCAGTTGTTAAATCCTATTGTGACATCCACTCACTAGCACTAATTCAGAATAATTGTTTCATATCATCCATTTATTCATTACCATTTTAATTATACTTATATTTTTTCCACAAATTGGAAACAGCTGATACAGCAAGCTTTTCCTCAACCTCTGGAAAAAAGCCCCCTTGGCTTTTGAGCTACAAAGCAGTATTTCCAGTTGCAGACCATGTAGTCTGCCAGCCAGGGGGTGAAACAACACGCTTGGATTATATTTAGGGTAGTGAAATATCCCAGGGCAGTACGTTTTTGAAATCCTCAAATGCTCTCACAACGTGATCCATGAAATAATCCGCTATTCCTTCGGACAGCCCCTGGTGAGCCACGAGCTGCAGCCGCCTAGAGGAGTGATAGTGAGTTTTCTATTGCGCTTTTTTCTGTTCAGGTCATTCCAGTTGTACATTTGGAACAGCAGTGGTACTACTTGTGCTTCGGTGTGCGAGTTACCTTGTTTTATGCTGTTGCTGCAAACATCCGTGTGGTTGATGTTTTGGTATATTCTTACATTAGCAAACCAAATTCAGGGGGGAACTTTTGCTAGTGGGAGTCGCGTGATAAATATGTTGTCGAATACTTAATTGCAGTGATTAAAAACTATCTGTCTGAACTGTACCCGGCGTGCGGCTCCTCTGCACTTCACAGGACTGTGGGGACCACAGGGAATGACCTGAAATTTCAGGGTCTTCATATATATATATGTGTGTGTGTGTATATATATGTATGTGTGTGTATATATATATATGTGTGTATATTTGAGCTGTAGTAAGGCCCTGCCATGTGTTGACGGGAGCAGTGAGCAACAGCAGATGCTTTGAAAACTCAGAGGATGGAGGTGAGACCCACTCCCCACATGACCCTGGACTCTGTGTTCCCACTCACCTGTCCATGGCTGTATCCCCCAGGACACCCAGGTATGCCTGAAATTCCTGCCCTTATGGTCTGGGGGTCAGTCTCTCTCTGTGCCCTCGTGCTAATCCTCCTAAATCATCAGGGTAAATAAAACCCTGTACAACCGTCTTTTTGGTGTCAGCAAGTCAGGCATTCCTTTATTCTTGGCCGGGGCTATGTGGCTGACAAAATTCCAGCCTCCACACAGACACTGATGCAGAACTTTTCCACTTGTTTATACATTTTTAGTAAACAAAAACATTAAGGTTCATCAGTTCTAAATTGTATAGTTATCATTAATTAAATATAATGAAAGATGTCATTTATTGGTGATTGATTTCTGACTTATGCTAATTGGGCCATATTTTTAATCTTTTTATAAAATCTTTCCCTTTAGTAGGGAATTTCCAGTGCATATACTGAATTTTTATCTGGTAATTTCTGCATAGTGTCCTTATGATCCATAAATTCTGCATTCTAGATGTCCAACCTCCCTAATCCCTCTTTCTCTCCCGGGCTTTGCTCATTGGACATAGCAGAGTTCGTTTATCAAAACTGAATGTTTCAGGCCTTTTCCCAAGCTGTCCCCACAGAGATAGCTTGTAACAACTTTGCTAAGTACCGCCTGAGAGTAATTTAAGAATAGCCCACTACTTATGAATTATACACATATAGGTGATGGTTAATTAGAATAATTAATTCAAGAGGCAATTACTCTCCTTACCTGCAGTTAGCAAGACGTTCTGTCGTTCCCCACAGCGGCCAGGGCGCGCGGGCCCTTTAAGCGGCTCCCGAGCCCTCACGGGCGGCCGGAAGGGGAAGCGCTGGCGGGACCGGCGGCGGCGCCGTTGCGGCGGGACCGGGGCCTCCCGGCGGATCCCGAAGGAGCCGTAAGGATCCCGGTGCTACCGGCAGGGGCGGCAGCGGCCCCTCCCGCGCTCTCAGAGCCTCCCCAAGCGGTGCCCGCGCTCCCTCCCTGCCGCCGGTATCCAGGGACTCGGCTCCGTTGCTGAGGGGCCGGCCATGGTGCGGCTGCACGTCAAGCGCGGCGGCGAGAGCCAGTTTCTGCTGGAGGCGCCGGGCAGCGCCCGCCTGGCCGAGCTGGCGCCGCTCGTCGCCCGCATCCACAACGGGCGGCTGAAGGTGCAGCGCCTGTGCTCAGGTACCGCTTGGGGCCGCGGCGGCGGGAGCGGCTCCCGGCAACGGCCCGGGCAGCGGGGACGCGCCGCCTCCGCTCTGAACGGGGTCGTGCGAGAGTTCCCGCCTTCGGTGTTTAGTGAGGGCACTGCAAAGCGCTGAAACTCTCCCGCTGCGTGTGCCGGTAGTGGCTGCTTGAATCAGGGAATCGCGGAATGGTTTGGTTTGGGATGTGCCTTAAAGCTCTCGCAGTCCCACCCCCTGCCATGACGGGGACGCCTTCCGCTAGACCAGGGTGCTCCAAGCCCTGTCCAGCCTGGCCTTGGACACTGCCAGGGTTCTGGGACCAGCCACAGCTTCTCTGGGCAACCTGTGCCAGGGCCTCAGCACCCTCACAGGGAAGCATTTCTCCTCAGTATCCCATCCAACCCCGCCCCGTGGCAGTTTGAAGACATTCCCCTTGCCCTGTTACTAGACCCTTGTGCAGAGTCCTCCTTCAGGGCAGTGTGAAGTATTCCTTCGTGACCAGCAGTGCCCCGACGTGTGTGTGGTGTTATACTGGTCACCACCAGCATCTCTTGCCATGCAATGGAGTCAGTGGCATGTCTGAATAAGTGCTGAGTTCCCTTCTGAGGCAGCTTTAAAAAACATTTCCCACCCCGGCATGGGGCTGTCAGAGCAGAGATTCCTGTCAGGTAAGCCTGGCCTGAGGGTGCAGCCCACCCACACCAGCTGTGCGACAGCCTCAGTGTTTGTGGGGTGTCTGAGGTTATACTGATGCTGCTCTGGAATTTAAAAAAATCTGACCAGGAAAATACCAAAAAGAAAAGGTTTGTGGCCACTAAGTTCCATGAGGATTTGCATCCCTGCACGTGTCATTTGTTATGTTGTTTTATGGGTATGTAAAATATAGGAATTTTAGCATAATTACACCATCCGTATCTGTATATGTTTATATATATAAATACATATCTATAAGTGTTTATATCCCTTATTTCTTATTCTCTGTGTTTACCTGTTTAGAAACAAAAAGCTAGGGGCAAGTTTTGCCTGCATGTACATCATGGTAAAGGCTTTTGTAAATGGACTATAGTAACAGAGACTTTTAATCTTGTTTTCTAAACACTCTAAAGAGATGGAGGAGCTGGCAGAGCATGGTGTTTTCTTACCTTACAATATGCAAGGACTGACAGATGAGCAGATTGAAGAGCTGAAGTTAAAGGACGAGTGGGCAGAGAAGTGTGTCCCAAGTGGAGGAAGCACCTTCAGGAAGGATGAAATGGGACGAAGAAATGGATTTGGTAAGTCAAATGTCAATGCTTGTTTCTTTCCCTTCAGACACAGACAATCCATATTACAAGAGGGAGCAACAAATCCCTAATTCTGGAATGGGGTAGCCAAACTATAAGTTCCACACACAGGAATTCTGTCTTGGGTTAGCATCTGCGGTAATGCTGATTAACAAGCCTAAAGAGCAGTGTGTCTCTTCAGCACATAAACAATCACCAGGAGCAAGTTTGACTGTTCCAGTTCAATTTACTCTCCCCATCTGTAAATGTACTCTTGAGAACTGGCTTTCCCCAGGGACTCCAAGATATGTTAACAGGTTGTTTTTCTAATATTTCTCCTTTTTTCTTGTTGGCTGGGGTTCAGCTTCACCGAGCATGTTTTTGTAAGTGAGAGGATAGCCTTGTGATATTGACAAAGTTAGAAAATTGAACAGTGTGTATGTGTAAGCCAAACCAAGTGCCATCAACTGATGCACCCAAGTGGGACATGAGCTGGGAATGAGTATGCTTTAGCTGGATTTTTGTTTTTGAGGACAGGCTTTTTATAGCAATTGAAATAGATAACTGTGATATGAAATGTGCAGTGTATTTGCAAAACTGTCTTTGTTGTTAGATTGAGATTTTAATTAGAAAAGACAAGTCAGAAAGCTGCAAGCTGTTATGCCCAGTTAAAGCATGTCTGCCAGTACAGCCCACAATAGTCCAGCGGGGAAGGAGCTTTGGTTTGTTGTGGAGGGTATGGGATTATGGTTGTTGCTTTCTAATGAGGACCTTTGTCCAGATGAAGTTCCAGATCATAGAATCACAGAATAGTTTGGGTTGGAGAGGACCTTATAGCTCATCCACTTCCACTCCCCTGCCATGAGCAAGGACACCTTCCACTAGACCGCATTGTGCCAAGCCCCGTCCAGCCTGGCCTGGAACACTCCCAGGAATGGGGCAAATACCAGTCACATGTCTTTGGGAAAAGTAAGTTCGTTTGTCCCATGGAAAATACTGTTTGTTTCTTAAGTTAGTAAAAAAAAAATACAGCAATGAACTATATAACTCCTGCTGTATGGTATAATGCTGTTTCATTTGCTCACAGTGGAGTCTGGACAGGGTATGTGCTTGGTTTCTTTACAGTAAGCATAGACTATGAGATGTGTTTCTTATGTTTGTCCCGTGGAAAATACTGATTATTTCTCAAGTTAGTAAAAAAAATACAGCAATGAACTATATAACTCCTGCTGTATGGTATAATGCTGTTTCATTTGCTCACAGTGGAGTCTGGACAGGGTATGTGCTTGGTTTCTTTACAGTAAGCATAGACTATGAGATGTGTTTCTTACTTTTAGCTCCAAATGAAAAAATGCAGCAAGTTATAAAGAAAACAATAGAAGAAGCCAAGGCATTAATCTCTAAGGTAAGTTTCCCAAGTGATGTGTGGGTCTTTCCTAATAAGTTCTGTGGAGTTGGACATCTTAAATAACATCAGACTTCTTTCAGTGCAAGGGCTGACAGTTGTTGAGAAATGCTATGAAGTGATGTGAATAGTCTAATAAAACCTGACATTTTGGTTAATGTTTTTCTGTAAGGCTTTTGGCAAGTGGTTCAACAGGTTAAGGAATCAGATATTAAACTCCAAGGGAATGCTGGCAGCCGAGCCCATGTGGAACGATTAAATCACATTCAGTTTTATCCTTGCAATTTGCTGTTGGTGTGTTCTTTGGGTGAATGCTTGTCGTGCTTTCTGGTGAAAAATTAACTGCATTCTGTGCTGTTCTTGGAGTTAATGAAGTCTTTTGACTTCTGTGTGTAATTAATTGAAGAATGTGTTCTAATCTCTTAGATTATCACAGAATCACAGATGATTTGGTTTGGAAGGGACCTAAAAAGCTCATCCAGTCCCACCCCACTGCCGTGGGCAGGGGTACCTTCCCCTAGACCAGGTTGCTCAGAGCTCAATCCAGCCTGGTCTTGAACATTCCAGGGATGGGCAGGGGTTAGGCCTTGGTTTGACAAGTGCTTGGACTCATGCTCAGTCCTGCTGAGAGTGTGTGTGTGTGTTCAAAGACAAGCACAAGGTTTGCCCTGATGGGACAGTGCTGTCAGGCGTTGAAATTCACATTGCAAAATGTGTAGGTGCTCTGTGTTGTGTTTCAGCTTTTGTATGACTTTGAAAAACAAATATAGTAATATTTATGAGTGGAGTTCAGGATAGTATGGAAAGTGGTTTGTTTGGTTTGCCAATTTATAATGACAAAAAAGAAGAAACCATGCCTGTGTATTTGAGGTTGTACTGGCCAGTTAACCAGATTAAGATTGTCCACAAGGAGGCAATATTCCCTTACCTTAGTACTTAAGCTGTTAAATCTGCAGGGAATACCTTTATTTCTTTTCTTCCAGATGTGTCATATTTCTCATTTATCCTTGCAATAGGGTTTGGAATGATCTCAAGTACTTGGTCTTACAGTTCTCTGCATGAGCTGTGCAGTTTGCCAAGCTTTACGCTTCCGCTCACATCATTCCCTTACCCTAGTACTTAAGAAGCTGTTAAATCTGCAGGGAATACCTTTACTTCTTTTCTTCCAGATGTGTCATATTTCTCATTTATCCTTGCAATAGGGTTTGGAATGATCTCAAGTACTTGGTCTTACAGTTCTCTGCATGAGCTGTGCAGTTTGCCAAGCTTTACGCTTCCGCTCACATGTGGTCTATTTTTTTCTCAAGTTTTAAGCCTCTTCTCCATCCCTCACTTGAATTTTGCAGGCTTGAATCACGTTCATGAATCACAAGTGCTTGGAGCCAAAGCACCCCTGTCTGGTATTTGTGGTCCATGTGTCCTGGTGTAAGTCCTGTGTTCCACGGGCAGTTGTCTCCTGCACAGTTTAGTGAAGATCTCCCTTTTTTGTTTTCCCCCCCACCCCACGTAAGCAGGCTAAACAGAGGGGCCAAAGGTGAGAGATGTGCTCCCAAGTCAGTATTCCAGTGAGGAAATTTGCACTCCTGATGTCTTTGTGCAGCCTGTTAGCTCTGCTCAGATATCCTGTCACTTAGCCTTTGAATTGGCCACTCCTTCTACAGGTTTGCTTGTATTGCCAATGATCTCTGTCTGTATTTCAGAAACAAGTTCAGGCCAATGTGTGTGTTACTATGGAGACGGTGACAGATGCACTGGAGCAGCTCCGAGGGGCTGTCATGATTGTGTATCCAATGGGATTGCCTCCACATGATCCAATTAGGATGGAGTTCGAAGATAAAGAAGACTTGTCAGGAACTCATGTATGCAGTAATGTATTCCCATTGTATGTAGTCCTGGGTTAAACATGGCCTGTACTGTTATTCATCTTATCAGAGAAAGTTGTTTTCACCTCCAACATGGAGAATTTGTTCCTCAAAGTGTTTATATTACATCAAGATGGAATGGAATATAAATGAAAATGCCATAGATTAATGAGGAGAAAGATGTAGAAGTAGAGTGTAAAATTACACTTCATGTTAGGAATTCCAGAAAGATTTTTTTTCCCTGGAAAAAACCCCCTGTTTTTGAAAACAAAAAAGGCAAGAAACAACACCCTCCAACTCTTCATCTTGTTTATATTGTCACAGGCTGGAACTGAAGTTATAAAAGAATCAGAAGCACAGTTGTGGTGGGCTGGAAAGCAGTTAGAAGAAACAAAGTTGCTCTCTGACTATGTAGGCAAAAATGAGAAAACGACCATCATTGTCAAGATCCAAAAAGTGAGTATTGCTGGGAGATTGCTCTACAAGTTCCTCACCCTTGGTTGTCTGTTCTCTGTGGAAGAGAACTATCCATAGGAGTATAAAATGGATTAGATGAGTTCCAACTTGAGCATCATAAAACTATACATCTATTTTAAGGTTTGAATGGATTATACTCCGAGTTTTTCTTCAGTAATTCTTTAGCCTGCCAGTTACATTCTGTAGTTGCTATTTCTTACTCCATGGTATTTTTGTGAAGTACAACAAAGAGGTATTTAAAGAGGAAATACCAACTGGGCGGTTTTGTGGCAAATCTTGCCACCCTGCAGTGGGTTCTGCTGTGTATCCATAAAAGGTAAGTCAGGTGATTTAGGGGATTTATTTAGAAGACCAGATTTGCTTTCTTTCCTCTCAGGGTCACTGGGAAATGGTGTGGCATCTCAATAGCCACTGAAGTGTAGGCTCCCAGGAATGCTGTCTGTTTGATTAGTTGAAGGACTTGCTCAAAGAGCAAGGGCAGTACGGGGGTTCCTCTCTGCCCAAACCCCGTTTGTTCTCGAGAGCATCCACCATCTCCATGCAAGATGGCTGTGTTTGCAGTTGCTGACAGCACGTGTTTTCTGCTTTGCCCATCATTTCTTCGAGGGGCACAGTGGCCTGGATAAGAAATTTCCTTTTATTTGTAGTGATTTGTAACTCCCTTACTTCCCTGCTTTACTGAATCCTATGCCATCCTGTGTCTGTATTAGTAGAGGTGCTAAAGATATGGGCCTGTCCTGAGATATCTAGAGTGACCTTAAAACAGATTTATTATATCTTTTAAAGTGGAAATTTATGTAAAATAGACTTAATCCTGTTTGCATCTTCCATTGATGTCCACAGAATTGACAGCATGATTCAGATAGAGAGATGAAAAAATACACCTCCCTTGAAAAAATAACCCTCACTTCCCTGTGAGGGTGTTGAGGCTCTGGCACAGGTTGCCTAGAGAAGCTGTGGCTGCCTCTTTCCTGGGAGTATCCAAGGTTGGATGTGGCTTGGAGCAACCTGGTCTAGTGGAAAGTGTCCCTGCCCATGGCAGGAAGATGGAATTAAATGATCTTTAAGGTCCCTTCCAACCCAAACCATTCTGTGATTCTATGAATGCAGCCACAGTTTCTCAGCATTTATTTTCCTGTCCTGAGGGACCTTGTTAAATTTGAGCAATCCAGTTGTCTGAAGAAAGCTTTTCGATGTCTTTGTATAGCAGCTTCTCCTTTGTATCACAAATGCCATCAGCAACATTTGCAATTTCCCTTCCAGAAAGGACAAGGAGCTCCAGGACGGGAGCCTGTGATCAGCCACGAAGAGCAAAAAGAGATGATGCTGTACTACTACAGGAAGCAGGAGGAGCTGAAGGTAAGTGTTCCTCTGGTGCCCCAGAGCTGGGCTGCTCCGACAGAGCTCAGGCTGCGTCCCTCACTGCCTCCCTCCCCTCTCTGCCACAGAAACTGGAGGAGGAGGACGACAACTCGTTTCTAAATGCTGAGTGGGCAGACAACCATGCTCTGAAAAGGCAATTTCACGGTGTAAAAGACATCAAATGGGGTCCAAGATGAAGCTCTGCAAACCCCTTCCTAAGCTGCTTGGTTGATGCTCTTGTTTGAAGCAAGGGGTTGTGTTGTGTGTGGTAGATTCTTCTGACAGCAGCTGAAATTGTCACTTCTGTGGCCTTAGATGTTCAATAAATGTTTGTATTTCTCTGTGACTGCAGCAGCACTTTCCTCTGCAAAGAAATGGACAAATTGTCTTGACACTTGCTATTTTATTAGAAACTTGTAATTGGATATGGAAATGTCAATCTCTTTCATAGGTAAGAAATGTAGTAAATACGCACTGGAATGTTTGGTGTTGGTCAGAGTGGCCTTTTTACTCTTTTCTCATTCTTGCATTACTATTAGATGGTGTCCTCTGCAGAAGGTAATTTATTTTGTAGGAAATCAGTTTCCCCTGACTAATCCAGGGAGAATTAAGGGTTTTCATGTGCTTCTTTACATTTCAACATAGCTGTTTCCAAACTGTCATTTTGAAATGAGTTAACCTCTTAATAATTGTTTCAAGTGTTTTTTATATAAACACTAATAACATCCTCGTGGAATGCTTCCTTTTCATTCTTCAGGTTTCGTTTTTCTTGCTGGTATATAGAGGTTGACATTAATTTGTATACAAAAATAAGCATCATTTGCAGGTAGGTTGGATAAACCCAAGTTTAATAGGACCAGATCTTCTAGGATGGAAGTGAAAAAATCATCATAATTTTCTGTATTGGTATGGTTGAAGAGACACTGATCAAGGTAAAAGACACGTGTTTGCTGAACTCGCAGCTTGAAGATTGGATGCAGAACAGGTAATGAATGCCACTCACTGAACTATTAATGGTGGTTTTACTTCAATCACTGATTTTTTTTTTTTTTACTTTCAGGGAAGTTTGGTGTCTGGTAGTTTTTCTTGAATCTCAACTTTACAGTAACATGACTTTTTACAAAAGAAAAACCAGCATTTCTGAGTTGAAAAACTTCAAATATTTTTAATTTAAAATTTATTTGGAATTATTTCACATGGCAAAAAAGGTTTTTGAAAAAACACTTTGTTCTTCCACCTCCTAAGAGGAAAATCAGTGTCCCAGAGCTTATAATATTCTCATTTCCTCTCTGAAAGCAAGGGAAAAGTAGGCATAGGAAATAATTAACATGGATTCTGTGCCCCTTTAACTGCTGTTCTCTGCTGTAATTGGTGCTGGTTTTTTCTTTAGCTGAGCAAATTTTCAATAGCATTGATCCTTTTTGGAGTTCTCACAACAGTGTTTGTGGATCTGCAGGATTCATTTATTGTGGGTGAAATGGAATGAACTCACTGGGAAATGATTGAAGAGTACTGGAACCCAGGAAAGCCTGTGGGTATTGAACTGTCCAAGGAGATAATGAGATGGAAACACCACACATAGGTTTGCAACTTTGCAAAAGCATTTTGTCTTTCTTGTAAACCACTTATTTTTGCATGTTTGAGAGTAGCCGTGCCCTTCCACGGAGAAAATCCATTCTTTCTCAAAGGAGACACACAGCAGAAGATTGCTAAAATTTTTGTTTTGTGGCCATATCACCATCCTGATGAATGGAAATGGTTTCCACACCTGGTTTCATTCGTTTTCTCCTTTTCACGGTTTTGCTTCCCCACATTGCTGCATTCTCTGCCTCACCCAGGATTTGGAAGGATTTATTTATTGCTTTCTGCAACCTCGCCCAGTGTTCCTGGTGACAAACTTGAGGCTGATTTCAAGGCAGGAGTGGGGAGTTCAGACAGCCATAGCAGCACTGCATGTTGCCTTCCAGCAGATGCTGATGCTGAGTTATGCAATTTACAGGTGTGTGTCATGCCCACAGCTGTGTGTGGGGCACGAACCAATTAGTCCAAACAACTTGCTAGCTCTCCTTTGCAGTACTTTCTCTTTAGGCTGCTCTTCTGGGAAATTGCAGGGATATTCCTGCTGAAACTCCTTCCCAGAGCCAGCCCTGAGTGTCCTTCCCATAGCATTGCTGCTGCTGCCTCATGGCACCATCCCTGTGGATACCTCAGCACTCAGCCTGGAGAGATTCCAGCTATGGCACTTCAGCTGCTGGATTTTTAGGGCTTGGGACGGAGAAGTGCATACCTCGTTAATTTTCTGTTTTGTCTACTGGATACTTTGGGTGTTGTTTCAGAAAGATCCAAATAATTCAATGTCTGTTTATGAGGTTTTTTTTATGCTTATCTTCATTCTGACTCTCAGACTGCTGTGAACAGTGAATATTTGGAAATGAGGTGAACCACTAATTGACAGCTTTCCCCAATTAGACTTGGAAAGTTTATGTAAAAAGGAAAAAATAGCAAGTCAAATGCAGAACTATAAATAGCTCAGTCAAAGGAACAGATCCTGAGTGAAGCTTGACCTCCCAGCCTGGAGCAAAAGCTGAAAAGCTGCTTCCCTGCCTGCTGATGCTGGGATTTGTACAGGGTCTGTCACTATGTTTGAGGATCCATTTAAACAGGCATGCATTTAAGCCCTGCACTTCTTTTTTTTTTTTTTTTCTTCAAAAGACGTTCCCAGTGTCTGTGAAATGCTCCATCCTGGGAAGCAGCTGCTTCTCTGGCACCTGGAGGAATTTCTTACTGTCTGCCTGCTGGTGAGTGGTGGCAGGCAGGGAGGAAAGTCAGGAGGGGGTCAGGTCATCAGTTAAATCACTATTTCAGTGTAAAATGTCTTTTTCCTCCAAGGTTGTAAAAGCAAGGAGAGGACTGAGAGTTGGGAAAAGCAAAATGTTTTGCCCCAAGGAAGAGACTGACTTCTAAGCTGCAAACTGGTTTTTGCTGATCTGCTGCCACTGCAGTTGTTTTGCCACCAGGAGTGAAGACCCTGGTTTCAGCTGGGAATCCTGCAGGGCATCAGATGGACGGAGGTGTGGATGAAGTGAACAAAGTGGGGAAAGGACTTGTGTGCTCAGTGGCGGGAGCAAAGGCAATGGACACAAGGTGAAACACAAGAGGGTCCCTCTGAACATCAAGGAACACTTTGTCACTGTCGGGGTGGCCGAGCACTGGCACAGGTTGCCCGGAAACGTTGTGGAGTCCCATGTTTGGCTGGACCAGGTGTTCTCCAGGTGGCCACCCCTAGGCCATGCTAACTTTACCTGGTCGTGAGTAAAGTCTGAAGGAAAGGTAACTCCCAACTTTTGTTAGGATGTCTGCTTATGGGCTGAAACCCCAATTAAACATGAGGGAAGGCTTCCCAATAAAAAAATGAGGGAAGAAAATGCACAAATTTTAGTGACTTGTAAACACTGACTGCTGGCCAGATAACTTCCAAAAAAGATCAGCTGGGCTGTGGGCCCCAGGCTCTCCAGAAGGGAGTTTCACCAGGATTCAAGAGTTTTGGGGAGCCCATGAGAGCAGGTGCCCCTGCCCTCAGCCCTGCAGGCCAGAGTCCAGCCTGCTCCATAAAAAGAAGATGATCGAGTTTTTTTCACTAGTATGGTTTGTCAGCAGGAGGAATTGTTGGGATGTAGATCAGTCCCTTTGTATCTGCCTGGAAAATGGGTGGCACCTGCCCCATGAGTTGGGAGGAAGGGGCCAGGTCTGGCCCAGGGCCCTCCCCAAAGGTAAAAACTTGCCTTCTTCCACCGTCAGGACCAAGGCATGGGCTTCTCCAGAGCTAAACCTATTAACCAATATCGTGCATAGCACAGGCTATGACAGCTTCCTACTAAAAAGGGGAGAGCAGTGGAGCAGCGGGATTGCAGCCAGGCTTAGGGCTCTGCCCGGCCTCTCCTGCAGTTTCCCAGTGCTCTGGATGACCTCAACCCTCCGTCCATCTCCTTAGCCTCTCTTCCTTCCGCTGATAGGATGCTAGTTGCTGGTGAGATTTTTCCAGTTGAGCACAGGATTGTGCCTTAGTCATCTGAGAAAGCTCCCTTCCTCCCTTTAAAGTTTTTCCAGGATTAATTTGACTTTGTATCAGCAGGAAATGACAAACCATGTCACTGTTTTCTTTCCAAGTGTTTCGTACTATGTTCTACCTGGGCACACGGCATCTAAGTGGGGAAGCACAGTGAACCCATGAAGTATTACCAGTAGGAAGTGACATTTTTCCTCCTTTTGTTCAGTAAATTCCCTGTGGGCTGCAGCAAAAATATTGGAGACATTTTTAAGACAGGAAGGCTGTTCTGGTTTCAGCTTAGATACATTACTGATTTAATTTTCTCTCCAACTGAAACCAAATCTGACTAAAAATTTGCAAGTGTAGATTGGGAACTGATAAAAAATCCTGAGAATATGACCTGCATTCAAGTGCTGGCTCTAACCCTGCTTTAGGATCAGAAAAATGAACCCAGTGTTTCCCTTAAGTAAAGTATTCTTGGCGTCTGGTAACTTCCAAGAGTCTTTTATGAAAGCAGCAGCCATTTTGAAGCTTGTCCTTCACAGACTGTCCAGCACAGGTAGCAGCAGGAGCGCATCTTGGGCAGATCTGTTCTGATGGTTCATTAAATATCTGATTAAATATTTTCCACCTTCTTTAATATTCCTAAACATGCATTTGGCAGTTACAGTGAAACTGTAAATTACAGTGAAAAGTAATCTGTACCACGAGTTAAAACTGTAGAGTATTTTTCACATAAGGATTTATAGACAGTCAAGGGTATGAAGCCCTCTTTTTATTGTATATATTTCTTTTTATTTTACAAATAATTATATTCACTGATACAAATGTTCCTTCACAGAAGGTACATTTTTTTTTTTTAAAAAGGGGTAGAGTGTCATCCAAAATAAGCCATTTATTGTTCATTAATATAAAATGTATTCATATTTCTAGGGGGTGTCATATCCAAACCACTGTTCATCCAGATTTCCTGTATGATCTGCTCCCTGCGCTCAATCCTTTCGGCCAGTTCTGCTGCCTCTGCTGAGTTATAACCTGAGTAAGAAGGTCTGTAAAGTCTGTCTGTCTCATCCTGGGTGTTTGAAAGGGAGGAATCCTCCCCCTCCTCCTCCTCCTCCTGTTCACTGCTCCTGTAGGCTCTGGCACTCTCTGGCACCAGCTGATCCTTCTTCCTGTGCAGTTTCTGGATGTCACTAGGACACAACACGCAGATCACTAAGACACACAGTGTGAGGATTAACCCCACACAAACGCTGGACACAAACAGGAGAGCGACTCTTTCAGGGTGATCTGCAGGCAAGAAAGCCAGGGCTTAATCACTGTACAAACTGCCAAGGCTGGTTACAAACCCCAGCAACCATTCCCGAGTGTTCTGTAGGCACAGGGCACCCAAAGCTCCCGACGCTCACAGCCCAACCCCGCCAGCTCTGCCTCTCTGAACTGCTGGGCAAAAATCCATTCTGGTTATAACACTGTAAAATAACAACGTGACCCCAGCCCTTTATGAGCAGCTCAGTGCTGTTGTCAACCAGCTGCCAGAACTCTGCACACCTTGTCTGGTCTTTCCAGCCATCCTGCCAGAATGGGCCTTGCCCTCACAAACAGGGGGCATGAGAAGAGTGACTCTGGGATCTGCAGGGCCTCGGCAGCATCTCAAGGCCAGGCTGAGTAGGGAGCACTTTTCTTCCTTTGCACCTTAGTATTGCTAAGTCACAGAAGCTGCTTTGTCTCACAGCAGAGATGGCTGGGTTTGGGATGACTTTTTGCTTTTTTTTTATTATTCCTTGATGATCCATGTATGTATGCAACCCAATAATTCCAAAGATGGATGTCTCCAGTGCTCTCACAGGTCAGGGCCATGTTTTCAAAACTACTGAACAACCAACAGTCCCCATCCAAAATTAAAAAATATCTCTGCTGCAGTTGCTAAGAGAGTTTGAGTCCTTCAAGGCAAGGAATATTCCCTAAACATCAATTATGCTGGGATTGTCTCATCTGCAAGATTGTGATTATACTGTAATGATATCATTACCATAAGCATGGGATTACTACTTGTAGCCTTTGGAGTTGATCCTCCCTTTTCCCACAACGCCACGATCTAGTGAGCCAAACAATCTCAGCCTCATTTTCCTACCTCTAAGGTATGCGAATGTAGCCAAGTAGTTAGAGCTAACAATAGTTCCGTCTTTCTTTGGAAGTCTCGATTCCCTTGGATCAAGGTCCACACCTGTGACATGAGGAGGTAAAGCACATTCAATGAAGCTACTAAACTGATATTCACCCAGTAACTTTCCAGCTAGCAAGTCCACCCAAAACACAGGCAGGCCAGTGCTGTGCTGAAGGAGCTGCAGAACACTAGACCAAACAATGGTTGATTAGTTAAATAAAGTATAATTAACAAGTTATTGAAAATATCAAACATCTAGAAAATGGCAAATTCATTTAAAAGCATCTACTGCCAAGTGAAGCCCCTTGTGCCTATTCCCATTGGGGTTTCTGAAATAATTTTACTTCACGAAGCTTCACAGTTCTCCAATGGCTTTCCCAACCCAAACATGCCATGCACTTCTGTTACTGAGGACATGCATCAGGCTCATCCTTAACTTTGTGGCCTTCAAGAAGAGCTGGTGTTGGCATAACTTGTAAAAGATTCTTCACCCTGAAACAGCTACAATTTCACTTTTATTCTTCCCAGCATGCTGGCTCTGGGCAGGTCACTCTTCCCACAGCTTTGCCGTGACTGCAGGACTGTGTTCACATCCCACTCCCACCCTGTCCTCTGCTCTCCAATGGGAAGAGCAGCTCTTTCATCAGGGTTTCCACTACTTCATCCCAAACCCCGGGTCTGTGGTGGTACATACCATCATTCTGTTTGATGGAAGACTTGTTATCAGGGACCAGGGGGTTGACTGCTGTGAGGATAAATTTAGGAACTGCAAAGAAAAAAGATAAATTGTGTTCTGTTAGTTTTAAGAGCCCTCTCCCCAGTTATTTACAATCCCACTGCTAACCCTGAGTTTGCTAACTGGGTTTCTGACAGTGGTATTGAAGGTTGAAATCAATCCTGGAGGTCTTTGCCAATGTTAATGATTGTGTGGTTTGTGTGAAGTCAGGGCAGCTCTGGGTCTGTGACGGGATTCACACACCAGCCTGCTCCAGGAACGTCAGTGCATCTCCATACAGCCTGGCAACCTGCCCCGTTTTCAGCCCCTCAAGGGTGTGCCAACCAGTGGATGGAGACAAATTGGCCTCTAAATTTGGCATAAACTGGGCTACAGCCAGATGCTAAGTTGCATCTAGATACTGGGTTTGGATGAGAAGAATTCACTGTCATTCTAAGATAAATGTTGAAGTCTTGTGTGATGTCATTTGGGAAGCTTCTGAGATGGACAGTTGCTGAGGAAGGTGAGGAGGATGGGAATAAATGAGCTCCATCTTTCTAATGTAATTATTTTATTCCCTTGATAAGTGTTCACAGTTTTCTTCAAATAATTAATAGAACTACAACCAGGTGCATTGTTCAGGCATTGAGAGTTCACATATTCTGTAATGGATGAATGGGGCCTTCAGCCACCCAGATCTTGGCACCTGTTCCTGTACTATGTGAGGGCAGATTGATTGATTTTCAGACTGATGGGAGGCAGGGGGGGTAAAAAAGGAAGAAATTTCAAGTATGGCGCTCACCTCTATCCCACATAGAAACATTTGCCAAGAAATAGTGTTGAGAGAGTTAAATGGAATAGCGGAGACTGAGTTTTGCAGCTTAGCATAGTTTTCCCTTGGAAAACAACTAAAAATAGCACTTCTTTTTGAGCAGAACTTTTCTTTCTGTGTGGCCTCAAAGTCAGAGCTGTTTCCTTTCCTGATGAAGGAATCCTTCTGGGAGTCTTAGCTCCTGTTTGCAGTGGAAGGCCAACAGATAGAGAGGTAAATAAGTTCATTTCTATTATGTCTTGTACCTCGTGGTAGTTTGTAGCTGTTTTCCAGCAGCAGAATACTTTCCTTGGTGTATGGGGCAGACAGGGAGCAGGATTGTTTCCAGTCTGCAGTCTGCATGTGCAGGCCAAGCTGTTCTGAACAACATGCCTGTGTGGTGAACAACATCCTGGGAGGATGCACCTTCTCCAGTGCAAAGCTCCTGTCGTGTGGCCTGGGACTCCTTCACCTGTGCTGATGTTCCTCCTCCCAGGGTGAGCTCCCCAGGGCTTCGCTTCCTCTTTTCCCCTATGCCATCCAAATATTTATTGCAGGGGAATGTTTAATTCAAAATGGCATGGACAGAAAGGGCCACTGGCTGCTTGCATTGCTTGTTTTCATTATTGTGCCTTGCAGATGCAAGGACTTCGACTGGTATAGGCTACATCAGGTCTCTGAACAGAACAGCTGGTGCCAGAATAGGAATTTTTATTAAGATGATCACATCTGTATTACAACTTGTGCCAGCACTGCTCTGGTAAGTAGGAGTCCGTCACCTCCTGCAGGCTGCCAAAGGCAGCCCGCAAAGGGACTCTGGCAGCCGGGGAGTGCGATACGCCGCGGGGCTGCGGGAGCCGTTTTCCTGAGAGAGGAGTCCCTGTCCCTGAAGTGCAGGCTCAGCAGGAGCCAGGAGGTCCCACCTCGTGCAGACAGGAGATGGTGCTGAGCAGATCACTGGGGGCACTGAGACTTCCAGAAACCAGCACCTCGCAGCTCCTGTCATGTTTTTACTATCAGGATTGCACTGCAAGTGTAAGAATCCAGCCAGACACACCACCCCTAAACAGCTGCTGACCACTGGGTGGGGAATATGGGGTTTTTTCACACTCCTGACCATGACAGAAATACTCTGAAGTGTGTTACAGCCCTGAGAACAAAACTGTTCTGCTGAGTTCCTGTCAATACAAGGGGAGATCTATTTGCATTATCTTGGGAAGCATCAGATTAGCAGGCATCCTCTAGTGAGGAGAATGAATGGAAACTATAATTTTGTAATATGCCAAATTCTTGCCATGTTCCTTAGATGATCTGTAAAGTAATCGGATCTGCAAATCATTGGCTAATGCTTCAGACTGCATAGCCCAGTAAGATTTGGCAGACAAAAAACTCTTCCAAATGTGCCAGCAATACAAAAGAACACTATTTGTTACCCACGTGTTTTTGCAAAACCACATCCCTAAATAACAGAATGCATAATTCCAGTGCAAACAAACTCACAAGCAAACTCACTCTGCTTTTCTGGTACACAGACATGCAAAGAGGAATGACTTGTTGTAATTACGCTCATGCTAATTAGAGAGAATTACATTAGCTCATTCACAAAGGCAGCTGCACAGTAATATAATGTATTAGTCCAATGGCAGATTCCCAGATCTCTCCGATAATAGGAAGCTGAATTACTGCACCACCTTTCACAGCTGACAAACCAATTCCTGGGGAGACTGAAAATCTCTTGGGGCTCATTTTCCTCTGATCTTCATGTAGAGGTGATCTGGCCATCAATCTTACACTTGTTCTTAAAAGCATGTCTCAGGTAACCTGTGCCCTTTGACCACTGCTCACTAGGGATGCAGCCAAAGGACTCTGCAGTATGTACCTGTGGAGCTGCTCCTATTGAAGTATTTTAGGGAATTCTGCTTGCCTCTTATGAAATTATATTAATCTGTAGCAAGCAATATGGAAAACTGTTCCCTCTTGTTTGACGAATGAGCTGAAGTACTTTTCAGTCCTGTAAGGGATGTATAACCTCAAACCTTTACTTTTCATAAACCTTCACTTTGCTTTCCATGGGAAAGGAAACCCCTCTGTGAGGGAGAAGCTGTAGATGAGCTCACATGAATCAGGTTTCAGGACTGGGCTTGTACACAGTGCTTCAATTATGCTGGACTGTTTTACCTGCACTGATGCCAGGCAATGCCAGTTCATTTTTCCTAGCTCTGTTGCAGGTGAGCTCTGTGGAACAAACTCTTATCTTGATAGTATTTCTCAAAAATATTGAACTACATAGTTTTTTTAATAGCAAAAAAACCCTTAATGCCAGAGTCTTTGTTAGGTGCCGCTGTGCCCAGGGGGTATATCCATGTATTTTGTATGGCTGTGTCACAAACTTCCTGTGTTAAAGGATGTTAAATGGATATTTAGGAAAGCTCAGTGCCCATTTGTGGACATGCGTGTGTGTCTCTGCAAGCAGAAATGAGGCCTTGAAAATAATTGTGCATTTGCTCTTACCACATGCATAGCTGACATTTAGGTATTTTGTCACTCCGGGTAGGCACGGACTTCCAAAATCCTGGCTAGTGACAATGATTTTGCATCTCTGTTTCCCATAACACCTCTTTGATAACACTTCCAGTGCTGTGTAAGACAAACAGTCTGAAAGAAAAAATACATACAATAAATATACAACACCCTGGTGTTATCTGAAATGAGAGCTGCTGGATGCATGACTAGAGATACAAATCTGCACCTGATCTCAGGTGTAACTTCGCCTTAGCAGGACTTCAGGGTTAAATATTAAGATTTGTTAATGCAAGGAAGTCAGCTGCAATAAAAATGTGAATTTGCAGCGAGGTAACTCTCCCATGTTGCCTTACAGGTGCATACAAAGGGTGCAGAAAGAGTCTCGTCAAGCTCCATACAGGTGCCCAATGTAAGGTCTCAATATTCATTCAGGAGGCTGGAAAAAATAAGCACATCCAAATAGCTCTCCATCTATGCCATCTCAAATCAAGAGAGATTAAAGGCTGTTTCCAAGTCTGTTTCTCAGCCCTGGGTTACTGAGATGAGTCGACTGGATATCCCAGTTCAAGTCAGGTGAGATCAGTTTTTATGTGTTGCAACAGCTCAGGTTACAGGGAAGTTCAGGGTATTAAAAAGTAGCTTTTGGTTTACTATGAAGAGGTCAAAATGGGCTCAATATTTAACCAGGAAAACATGTGGCTTCCAATAATGGGTTTTGCACTGGAGCTGAAATTATGAGAGTGGGAAAGTGTGTGAGTCACACTCTGCTTTAAAAAAATAGAACGTCTCTAAATGTGATTAAGTTCTCTGTATCCACATTTGCTGAACTCCAAGCCACAAAGCAAAAAACACCCTGTAGTTTTGGTTTCTAAACAAAAAGGATGCAGAAAGGGCACGTTTGGAGCAAGTAATACTTCTCTGAATCCTTCTGCATCACCTCACACACTGCAGCTTTCTGTGTATGGGATATGTTTCACTCTAAGCTTCTGAGGCAAGGGGGCTCTAAAGGTCAGAAATATCATTCTCTGGGGATTAAAACAGCCCCTCTTCCTACAATAAAGGATGGCCTCCAGACAGCTGCCAACTGCAGAAGCTCATTTGTGCCTCTGTAGAGGAGGGACAAACACTGTTTGCAAAGATAGTCCACAGGTTCCCCAAATCTGTTTGAACAGAAGAGAAGGTTTGAGACTGAGTTCCTGACATTTAATGTTTAAAAGTGGGGCAGATGTGTGATTTTTACAGTTAACTCCCTGACACCAGTACTAAAGAAGTCATATACCTGGGCAGAGCTATCAGGAGATATGGGGCTGATCTGTCTGGAAATGGGCTCGTGGGTTGTTTTGGACATGGATTTTAGGACAGAGCTCTCTGACTTTTCAGAGACCTAAAATCCCAATACCTGTGTGTCTCAAGAGAGTGCTGGGAAGGCAGGGAAGGGCTGACCTAAAGCATTGAGTAGTTCTGATTAAGTAACTCAGCAGTTTTAGTGTCCCTCCCTGGTAATTCCAGATGAGTAAGGATATATTTGCATGGATGTTTTAGGCTTACTTTGGCAAGTACAAAACCAACTGGAGAGTATCAGGAAGAGTTGTCGAGTGATTAATATATTAATAGATTGGGAGCACAAAAGCAGACTGGCAAACTGAATTATGTTTTTTATAGAATTTCCTGCCCTGGGAGCTACTCTTGGTGCCTTATAAAACCAGGAGGATGCTGTGCTGATGGTTTTCTACATATTCAGTGATGTGGCTAGGGTATGTTTCATTTTGCCTTTGCTCATGTTTCTGTGGGACTTAATAGCTTCTAATCATCTCTGTCCATGTTGGATTTGGCTCCTCTGCCTGAGGAGCCAGTCATTATATGCCTGCAGGTTCTTGGCAGGCCAGTTTTTGGAGAACCTCCCAAAGCTTGCCTGGTGTCATAGGTGAGCAAATGCAGGACAGGACAGACATTACCTGGAAAGTGTTATAACATAAAACAACTTATTTAAAACTTCTTGCATTCTGAAAAGGTTTTGGGTTTTAGTGATTTAATAAAAAATCCTGTCTGGTTTACATGTGGCCTTGCTATCTTCCCAGTAGTTCTCCCAGCAGCTATGATGGGATTCACTTTAATAACTTATCCTCCTCCTGGTCAACTACCTTATTCCAGTGACTGAATGAGGACAGGTCAGCGCTGTGTTTTGAGTAAAGGAATCCCATGGAATGGCCCCAAAGAAACCATGAGCTGGGAGATGAACATAAATACGCAGTGATGCAGTGTGGCTTCTTTCTAACTAGGTGCTTTTTGATCTACACAGATATCCCTGGGGCTTGTTAGACTGGTACCATACATTTTCAATAACCTGCCTCTGGAAAGGCACATTCCCAGAGTGTTAAAAGGCTGGTGGCATCCAGCGGTGGCAGACAAGGCAGCAATATGTGGCTGGGAAAACACTCCCTTCTCCATGCCTTTCTCCCAAAGTTGCTACACACCAAGACTGTCGGTGCATCTTTTGTACCAAACACTGCTATGGATGGCACGGGGACACGGGTGTCAAGACGAGGTTCTTAATGCACTAATAAACTATCCAGTCTGACTGCAGCTATTTAATAGTTGGAGCAGAAAGCCTTGTTTCTGGAGGAAAGGCTCTTTCAGCTCCCTAATTAGCTTTGTTTTGGAAAGTTTTGGCATGCAAATGACATGCCATAAATCACACAGGCTTTAATGAGAAGTAATTTGTCTTCTGGTTTCTTAAAGCTGCTCTCAATTCAGACAGGAGGAGCTTTCCCTCCCTTTCTTTCCACCCTGCCACACAAAACCTGCAGGTGATGGAGCATCTTGTGCCAGGCTCCGGAGGCAGCGTCCTGTCTCACCCTCTCCAAATGCTTCCAGCTGCTTTCATCCCCAACTGCGACTCAAGCCGCTTTGTGTTGTGGGCTGTGCCCACACGCAGAAGAATAAGGAGCTTGCTTTTAAAATCAACTGAAAGCAAAGATTTCACACCTCCAAATCAGGATGGCTTGTGCTTTGTGGAGCCCAGATTATCAGCTGTGGGGACATGAACGCACAAGGGGAAACTGTGGAGTTTGGAGCAAGCTAAGGCTGCAGACTCCTAAAGAAAGTTGCTGAAATAATATGGTAATTTATGCAAGAGCAAGGCTCACAGGGTCCTGCCTATGCATCAGAAAAGGGCCACTCAAACTGCTGATTCCAGCAGAAAGACACAATGTGATCAGCAGCACTTTTGTCAAAAACCCCCCGAAACTTGGTGTCTCTCTCCTCCTTGCAGATGCGTGTGCAGAGTGGGGGGTCCACCCCACCAAACACCAAGCGCAAGAGCCGAGTGCGGCTCTCCGTTTCCTGACAGCAGGAACCAGACTCCCTGCTCCTGCATGTGTGTAGACAGGAGTTCCTTGGCTCCTTTTAGACTTGAGGGCCAAGTGTACTTTTCCAAACCTTTCACAAATGTGAGCAATTAAAAAAATAGACCCAAGAAACCCCTGAACTGCTGGTAAAGAAAACATTGCTAGTTGAAGGGATGTGTGTCTCAGCGTGCTCCAAGCAACTTCCACCAGCATAATCTGATCTTCCCTGTTCATCTCAGAGGAAAGTTATTTGGACTCTAGAAATGGTGGCTGGTCTCTTCCTCCCTTCAAACAATCACTCCTCATCCTGCTGCTGCACTGAAAACCTTTTCTTTTACGGGAGTTTTGTCTTCACAACATTCATTGGGGCAAAGGGGTGCAATGGCTCCTACTGGCACCTCTTGGGGCCCGAAGCATATATTTAGCTTCTCAGTTAGCTCAGGCTGACACAGACAAGGACCTTTTCATATCTGATGTCTGCATATAGACAGAGCTGACTTAAGGGGTTTTGTGGTGGAAGCAAAATTGAACTATTTTATCCTTACTTTTGCATCCACAAAATTAATTTGATTCCTGTCTCCCATGCCCAAAGTTCCAAGGCAGTGTGGAAACATCTCAAGATCTGCCTAAAGCTGCTTGTACTTTCACTGCTGTTACTTCTGCTCTCAAGAGACTTTTTCCTTGGGGACACATCAGGCTCACAGCAGGCAAAGAGTACATCTTTTAGTAAGAGACAGAAACCAAAAGCTTATCAATCAATCGGTGAATAAGAGGCCCTTTGAATTGGCTACAATATCCAAACAAAAATAATCACATCATCATAGAATCCTGTTACATTAAAAAAAAATCATGAGACCTAGTTGGACTGGAAGGAACCTGCAGGATCTACAGGATTCTGAAAATCCCTCTTGCTTGACCTTCTCACCCCTTCTTCTTATCTGAATTCCACTGGGAAGAAAGAGGAGACTAGGACAAATTCCAACCCCAGGGTATGTCTTGGCACAGTGCAAACTGTGATGAGAGTTTGTGAATTCTCCACCTCCCCTCTCAACCCTCCAAAAGTGGGACTGGGTAAAAGAGCGAGCTGTACTGGAAAGAACCCCACCTTCCAGCAATGACAACCATGACAGGGGTGAAATTCAGGGCTCTGCTGGCCACTGGTGCTTGAGGGAACATACATCTGACCAGCCAATGTGCATCCAGAGGAATTTCTGGGAAGGATATTGCAGTGTTTTAGCTTGCAAGTTGAACCTAGAGATGACCTGCTACCAAGCCTTCTTTCAAGTATTTTCATGTATTAACAAGAGTAAGTTATTATTTGAGAGGTGTTTGTTGAATTTTCCTGGTGCTCTCTATGGTAACCTGTTCTGGCACAATTCTTTAACTTTTTCTGACCAATAAATTTTCTGTTTCCTCATGCACATGTTAGTACAAATACAACAGAGATAATGGGTCAGAAAAGGCAGCAATTCTCACAGGAACAGACAGCTACGGTTTCCTGCTTTGGTGCTGGGCACAATGGATTCCTCTAGGCAGAACCATCTGCTACAGAACCACACCCAGAATTTTCTTGTGAAGTTGTTGACAGTCTTAGTAAAACAGGAAAGTTGGTTGTTGGAAAGTCTGTACAGGCTTAACAGTGCCAGGCATTTGGACAGCTGCAGAAGCTGGGTTTTACCATCAAACTGGCTCAGAAAACCAGTTGTCTGAGTAGGTACTCATGGTCAGTGTGGAGGGTGAGGCTCAGGATCCTACAAGTGCTCAAGGCCACACAGATACCTCCCACAACAGAGATGGATTTATACAGTTTATTTCCTATATGGAGAAGAGCCTTTATGCCAAAGAAATTGTATGTTTTCCTGGGATCCCTTTGAAGTAAACTCTGAAAATCTGTCAGCTGATTTGACAGGTGGTTCACAGAAAAGCGGTGCTTGAGAACCCATCTGTCCCAGCCCAAAGCTGCTGTCTGTCACTGCTATCACACATATCAGCAGGGAGCCAAGATCTCGAGGAGCATCCAGTTCAATACCCAGTACACCTGCCAGGACCCTATCATGTATTGAGAGATGCAGAACTTTGGAGCTCACCAGAGAATTTCTGGGCCTGTCATTAGGACCTGTGGGGAACTTATCTTCTGCATAGTGCTAAAAAAATTACCTCACAGTTTTTCTGGAAAAGAACTGGAATGGCTTGAGCACTTCCCTTAGACTGAGTTGCACCAATTTGAGCAGAAATAATAATGCATGTGTGTTGGAGCCAATTGAGCTTTTGGTGCAAACATAAATGGGTGCATGGGTTCTGATTCAGGAGGGAAGAGCTGTCTCAAGTCATTACATTCAAATTACCATTGTTTTCTCTGAGAGAAAGGTACACAATCATTGCAGAAATCTAATTGTGCACCCACTTACATCTGTAGGTGCTTACATAACCACATAAATAAGATTCAGGCTCAAGACAGATAGATCTGGAGCCAGTTTGGTCTGGCTCCTAAGTACCAAGTCTTCTGTGATAACTGAATGTGAACTCCCACGCCCCACCACGGGGGCTCTTGGAAATTCCAATTCCTGCAGAAAGTCACTGATACCACGCAGGAAGAGGCCAAGTACTTCCATTAAGTAGTAGGAAATCTATACAAGGATCTACCTTCTGTAGATCTACTTTGTGTTTGTCTCAGGTTTTATGCTCTCTCCTACTACTACTGTCTTAGGCTGCTTTGCATAACACAAAACCAGTGCCAGCCAGGGTGTTGCTGCACAGGTGCTTCTACACAAGGGCCACAGCAGAGCTTGTTGCTGTTGCAGATTCTTTCACTTTATCCATTAGGAAAGGTTTGCAGAATTCTGATCTGTGAACTGTGAGTGCTGACATTAGAGGCAAGGGAGTGATTTTGAGAGGTCGGTGAAGTGCAAGACATGAGTGGGATGGCAGCCTCTTGATCAGCTGAGACATCTCTGCCCTGTCACCTGTTAATGCCACTGTCATAAGGGGTATGGGGGCCTGTCAGAGACCTGCTGAAATGTTTTCTCCACAGAACGGACAGGCACAGCTAAGTCTGTGTGAAGGCCCAAGAGAGTCGCTGTGAAACACAGACCTGGCAATCTTAAATAGATTGTTGGCTAAGAACAGATTGCAATTTTCAGCCAATAAATTTTTAATAGTATCTATGTAACTAAACAGAAACATTGGCTTGCAGACAAAGGGCTCTTAAGATTAATTATTGATCTCTTCTTGATATTCAGAGATGCTTCTCATAGGTGACATGTAAGCCTTGCACAGGGCTGGTGTCAGTCATGCAAGCCCTTCCCTGTGTGGTACCAAGGGGTTTGAAAAGCACACTCAGCTCATGCTGGCCTTCTCATGGCTTGAAAAGTCACCTTCATGTCCTTGGTGTCACCACTGAACCTATTATTCAGTTTAGCACTAGGTAGAGAGGACATTCCTGACTTGGTGCCGGAGAGAAGTCCCAGGCATATTTAATTTCCTAATGTGCCACCACAGCTTATGGCCTGGTCATACAACAGCATCTAAAGAAATGGCCCTGCCCCATGGACCCCCTCTGTACAGTCTGCAGCTAAGGCAGGGAATATCTGGCAGAAACAGGTATCAGGGAAGAAGAAGAAGAAGCAGTAAGACACAGTATCATGACTCTCGGGTCACCTGGTCATTGTCAGAAGCTGGAGGAAGAAGAGAGACAAACAGCTCATATTTATTATATGTCACCTAAATTCAAGGCAAGGGAACTAGTTTTTGATGCTAATCATATTAAGAACTGATTAACTATATGGAAGTTCATTACTTTGCTGCATCTCTTACTCTATGTTTGTCCTTCATATTGGGCAATTTGTTTGAGTTTCAGAAATAATGTCTCTCACTTTGCCATCATGGATGCTTTCAAAACACCATTGCTCCTGCACCTGAAGTTTCTCCCCACCTGTGTTCTCTCTTCCCTGTGCTCCTGCCTGGAGAAGGTCCCTCAGTGGTGCCCAAACATACCAAAGGGGGGTGTGTGCTCCGCCTTTGTTGAGCAGACGCTCTCCTCGTGTGCCCATCTGCCATAGGTGGCCGAGTAGATGATAAGGAACTTGGATTCCTGACAGTGGAGCTTCAGTTCCTGGTTTTCACATGCTGATTTGGTTTTGTATTCAGCTAAAGTAGAAGCAAACAGCAATATGATAGCGTGAGGCAATTTAAATTGCTGGACTGTTAATAGCAAATAGCAGCAGGACAGAAACCAGCTTTCCTGCAAATGCTGTTGCAAGTGACACGTGGCACCTGTACAGCTAGACACAAAGTCAAGAGCAGAGTGCTTCTTCCAAATGAATTGTGCCCAAGTGACTGGCTAGAGCCTGTGGCTCCATCTTGAACAGAATAGAAAACCCTAATTTTGCCAATCTCCTTTCCTAGTGGAACAGCCCCCCTGCTTTACTGGCTTTCTTTCCACTCCTGCTCAGCAAGAGAAGCTTCATCCTTCTCTTTTGTCTCTCCAGGGGACACTGTTGCATTCTACACATGCCTCAGCTGCCTCTGCACCCTCATCACTCACGGGCAGGGCTGGCACGGCTCAGTGACAGCGCTGGGCGAGGCACGGACAATGGGAGGACAAAAGGCCAGGACGGGATCCCCATCCCAGGCCAGGCAGTGCTCTCAGCTCTCAGCTGTCTTTGCACTGTTCCTCCAGAGTCACTGGGTGTCCCTGGGTGGCACTGTCCAGCAAGGGCTCATTTGAAAGTTTGGCTGGCAAAGTGATGTGAATTAGAGGCCTGAAAAAAATCCCCTCCTCCCTTGCTCGGCTGGCACAAGCACCCTGGCAGCACCCTCAGCAGAGGTGGGGAAGGCACTGAGCTCCTCTTCATGGCTTATCCCTCCTAGGGTATCCCTTTAAATCTGCCACTGGCCAACAAGGCACTTCCTGGCCTAAGCAGCCACTCTGTTGGTGGCACTCTACCTTCTTAAGTCTTTCTGGTTAAGCTGTGATGCCAAACCTTTCTATGCCAGATTAGGGCAGGGAGAAGAGTTCATTCTCCTCCAATTTTTTTGTCCTCAAAAATGTGAAAACAGGAAAAGGAGATTCCTGAGCTGAGCAGAAGAAAAGGGAAACCTTATTGTTAGCGACTGGTGTCCCTGTGAGTGGAGGGTGGATGCTGGTTCTTCAGGAACTGGAGAGAGAAAAACCTCCTATCTACTCATGGATTAAAGCAGTATTGTTTCTTCCAGAAGAGAACAGCTAAAACAATGGCTTAGTGTTCTTGGTAACCGTCCAGTTTTTACCATTCAAGCTCATCAACAGCCATGAGCTTAAGTGTAAAAAGGAGTGATTTTGAAAAATATTTTGAAAACATTTTTGGAAACATTTTGAAAAATACTTGACCTATTGCAGATTGTGACTTCTGCAGAAGCACCTGCCATGCTGTGTACACATAAATAGGCCAAAAACCTGGGGTTTATGCCCAAGGACTGACAGCCTGCAGCTGGACTCTGAGTTTGCCTGGCTACGCTGGAGAGGCTGTGGAAGTATGTATAACCCCAAGTGGTATCAGGCAAGGAGAAGAGCCCAACATAAACCTCTGTAAGGATATGGCAACAATAATTCTAAATAGGGATTTAGGCAACTGCTTAAATGCCCACTTGAAGGCAAGGAGACTGCAAAATATACCTGAAGTTATGCTGAAGTGATTTCCTGAGTAAGGATGTTTTCCACTGCCAAGACTAACAATATTGGTATCTTACCTACAAATATAAATTTCCTGTCACTAGAAATCCTGTCATTTGCCCTGGAATTGGACTATCCCTCAATTCTGAAGGCAGCAGCTGCTGTTAAATACACTTTTCACCAGCTTTTTAAAAAGTCAGATCACAGAAAATACTATATACTCAAAGAAGCTCATCTCCCATGGGAAAAAATATTAAGCATCTTCTGAAAGTAATAAACAGGATCCCAATTCACTTTTGTTTAGCAAAAAGAGATTGCTAATGACACAGACACTGCTATGATATTCAAACCATCTACTATTAGTAATGGACTATTAATCTACTATTGATAATTGCAATATACAAAAATAATTAAACTATTGATATAATAAAACAGATAATGAAAATTTTAAATTTCACACATTTTTTGCCCCTAATGATTGGCCCACTGTATCTCCCCAGGAGTTCTTGAGTCAGTGCTTTACCAAAGGAACATCTGCCTACTCCACTCCATTTCTCTGCTCTGACTTCTACTTTCCATTGTGAGCTGGCCCTTCAGTTTGCTTGCCACCTACTCCTGTTTTACCACTGATATCTATCTTAGTGCTCTGATGAAAGAAAACCCCTTTAGTGCTTTCTCTAAGGTTGATATTTCTGTGTTGGCTGGTGAACCTCCCCATAAATCATCATTCAGGTGTTTTCTTTGGGACCCATTTCAGCCACACTGGGAATTCACTGCCAAAAGAGCTGAGCCCCCAGGCTACTGGAACTTGTTCTCACATACCATAGCAACAATGAGAACGATTAAAAACCACCAATAAAGGAAATCTCATGAGGATTATCTTAATCATTCTTCCCCTTTCTCATGTTTACAATGTGGGTTCTCTTTAAGGCAGGATTTGTCCCTTCACATATCAGCATCAAATACCTGCACAGAGCACAGGTGATTCTACAATAAAAGCCTCTACCCAAATCACCACATGTATCTTCTGGCCATTATTCCATAAACAGAAGGAATTTTTGAATCTTTGGAAGCTTTGGGCCCAGCTCCTTAAGTATTTTTTGCATATTCTTTCCTAGGGATACCTTCTTCATTTGGATCCTTAGCCCAAGCATCTGGTTTTGCTGTTCAGCTCTTTCTAATATTACATTATCATTGCTATCTCATTAAAAATAATTTCCGTAACATTTTTCCTTTCTAGTCTGATGCCTGACATCTGCCCCTGCCGAACTACACTGGTCATTAAACTGGCAGCAAGCACCCTGAAGCTGCAAACACAATGGAGACCTAAGGTAAAGTAGAAAAGAACAATTTGTTATTGATCCAAGAGCCCCAAAACCTCACATGGATTTATGCAAAGCCTTGTGCAGTGGCATTTTAACCAAAACAAGCAACAAAACACACAGAAAAACACATGTGCCTGATAAAGATTACTTACTAGGTTTGCATTTAAAGGAGACAAGGAGGAATTTAGTAGTCCCTGGACACAGATCAGGCCCAAAAACCCGACTATTGACAAGGAGTTGGCAGGATCTCAGGTTTTGGCATTCATCCAGTACTTTCTAGAACAATGGGCAAAAAGGATAGTCTTGACAACAAGGCATGAAGCTATAAAGCAATGAAAACACTTAGTTGTACTTTGTTCTACACAGGAGAGAAATCACAATTTTTGGCTATAAACATGCAAGAAACATCTGCATCATTGGATCTAGGCCATAGCTCTACTGGACTTGGAGTCATGGCCAACTTTATGGGAACACGTTCATCACAGCCACACTCACAGCAAATTAGGATGTTAGCAACTTGTTGTTTGTCACTTTTCCCTCTGCCCCTGGGGAGGCTGGCCAAGTTGCCCTGAGTGCCACCACAGCCTCGATGGTGCAGAGCCCAGAGCACGTGGAAACACACGAAGCCCCCAGCTGTCCCACTGAGATACCTGAGGCACTTGTACACTCCTGAGCACATTTATGGGAGTGCAGTGTCCAGGGAAGGCATGGCAACAAAAAAGGTGTCTTCTTAACCACTTCTTGATCTGCTTACATGTACCTGAACATGCTCTGTAAATAATTTTCACTTGAAAGAGTTCTGACTAATGATAAGTACAACTCAAGCTTTAAGCCATGTGTAGGACCTCTTGCTTAAGGGACAATTCCTGCTCGCTTGCAGTTACACACATTATCAGCAAATTTCAGAACTGGTTTGATTGGATAGCGCACATGTGCAAGTCTATCCTCTGCCTCCTTGTCTTGTTTTGTGGGGTGTTTTTAGTGCTGTTCTAAGGACATATCTACTCCAAATTCATTGGTCCAGCGATATATCCTGGTTCTTAAAGTGCAGCTTCCCCGGGAGTGGCAGCAGAGGAAGACCACAAACAGGTCAGCAGTGTTATATACAAAGTGTTATGTGGACTCTCTCCCAATCTGGCAAAAGGACTGAGTGCTTGCACTGCTCACACTGGTGCTCACACTCCAGCTGTGCTCTTGGAACTGTAGCTGCAGAAAATATGAAGACATTGCCAGGGCCAGCCTGTCCATTTTTTAACACAGTCACAAGCCAAACACCTAAAAACACCAGTTTTAATGCAGCAGTGGATTTAGGAAATTCTTATTCACCTCCAAAACTCAGTTAAGAGAGGTCTTTTCTGACACTCTTTTTGGATAGTCTGTGTGGTTGTACACAGGATTCATGATGTTTTAAATTACAGCAGGCTGTGACAAAGGAGGGTGTTATCTCCAGGTCACCCCACTCTTAACAGGAGTAACTGTAATAAACCATTCTGATAGTTGTAGGTAGTCGCTCAAAGTCTATGGGAACTTTTGCTTTTTTTTCTCATCAGAAGAGGTCTCAGTCATACCAAGAGACCAAATCACAAATGTACCACTGTGGTGGCACAAACTGCATTCCTATTTCCAGGCTGAGAGAGTTGGCAGTGGCTGGATCTCTGCTGTCATCATTGGAAACCTTCCCTCCCAAGCAGCAATGACACACATTGGCACATTGCAGCGATCCTACAGCTCACATTGGCAGAGGAAGAGGACATGCATCCAACACTTTTTCAGCATTAAATGCACTCTAAAGGTTTAAAAGGGAAGCTAAGCACAGACTTAATTTTATCAGTCAATTTTCCTTTTACAGAGTTGCAAGTTCCTCCTTAATTGGGATAGTTCTGGAAGGGACCAGTGAAATAAGAGTTATATATTTAGTAAATAAAGATAGCTGTCCCCTGCTGAGTCACCTTCTGTTTGCACCTGAGCTGAATCATCTCCTGTGCATCTGTTTGTATTTTCTCCTGCCTAATGTGAACAGCAGTTGCATTTTCTGTCATGATGCTGTGCAGAAGCACACAGCTCCAAAAGCAAACAATGATACCCAAAATAGCACTGGGCAGTTACTGTCTCTAGCCAGATCCCTCTGACAAGAGGTCTCTGTAAAATGTGCCTGTGATGCTTCCTCCCAGCTACAGGGCATCATCTCAGCTGCCTGTGCAGGCTGCAGATCCACTTCCAAAGAGAAGGGAAGGAGGGATGAGGTCACTGGTGCTCTTTTCTAAGAAATCAGTTTACAAGATGTGTTCCTTCTCCTTAACAGAACTGAAACTCCCTGAGATGCAGAGCATTTGTATCTGACAAATTCATGGCCTTGCCAAAATGCTTTCATGCCTTTGATCAGCCACAGTGCCCAAATGATGATGGTAGTTTATATAACAGTTACCCCATGCTGTGTTTATTATATTTGAGGGAAAAAAGTGCCCATGGAGACGTTACAAAGGCACTCACAAGCCCAAAATAATAATTGGTGCTACTTTACTGCAGCCAGTAATATAACATTAAGGATGCATCTGGCCTGCTGTTTTTGGTGGAGAGATGTACTTTCACATGGCCCATAGGTCATGTTTGGAATGTCTTCAAAAATTGCAGTACATCATGGGTGAGCCACACTTATAAAATTGCCCTAATACTGTTTCTGGAGAGAGGATATTACTGCCAACCACTTCATAATACCCTTCAACTCAGTAGTGGGAACAGACATTCCTTGATGTCAAGAAGGAACGTGTGGCCTACAGACAGAAATGTTGCAAACTCCATCAAAACTTCTGTAAAGCATTTACAAGTTTAACAAACAGAACATGTTCAGATTCCACTGACTACTCATTTTTGGAAGGATTTACTGAATTTGGAAGAACACTGGGTATTTTTCACTAAGATGAAACAAGCCTTTGACAGCAGTGTAAGTCAGACCTTGTTACAGAAGTCTCTACAGCAGAAATTAATAACTGATGAAGTATAAATAATTTTAAGCTATACTGAAGCAGGCCCAACAAACAAACCTTAGGATGTTGCTGATACAAATCAGGTAGTCACAGAAATGCAGGTATCTGCAGAAATTCTTGGGATTTGCTGTTTAGCTGTTGCTGTGCCTTTTCAGTGAGGGAAGAAAAGCATGCAATAAGCCAGCATGTCATCTTATTCGCTGGATTTGTAACCTCACTCTGTCCAGTGCCTGTATCCTCCCCTGGGGTCAAGGAGGGCCTCTGTGATAGATTAAGACTGGTCAACTCAGCCATGACCATCTCTTGAATGGAAAGGAGCGGACAATTTTAGGGAACTTTAAGAATGGGGTTTTCAAAGCAAGGTTCATCACAATGGAAGGCAATCTTCAGAGCTCTCACAATCCTACAGTAATACCCTGCTGTCCAGACAAACCCTTCCAGCTGTAACACTTTTGATGGCAAACTGCCATAGGTACAGTGTTGTCTTGTTCAAGGTTGAGAACTCTTGCACAGAAATGGCAGGGAAACCATAAAAAACATTCTGTACCTTAAGAACCTTTACAAACATGTGGTACCTGCAAAGAGGTGGGTGCCACGCAGTTCCTGGGTTCTGTCATCCTGGTTTCAGGCTCCCAAGCACTGCACACGTGGGGGTCCTGTCCATAAAACGCTGACTGAACGCTGATGGTTGAGTGCCGAGGGCAGTGCAGGCTCAGGTGCTGCCCGTCGCAGGCATAGGCCGTGTGATTCTGCAGGAGCTTCGTTAGGTAACCTAGAAAATACTCAGCTCTGTTACGACTAGCACAGGAAATGACAAGCTCGTTAGACAATAAAAAAACCACAATCAGTCTCCGGAAAGGGCATTGTAGTCAAGGTTATACATCTGGCCTCCAGCCACCCAGTTCTCTGAATGGGTCACCTCTTACGTGCTCTAGGGCTGGAGAACACAAGGTCTCGTGGCAGGGAGTGCGAGCCCTCCCAGCACTCCAGCAGCAGCAGGATGTGTTGTACAGACAATCCATGGGCTCAGGCCCTTGCCAGTCGTGGCTGCTCACGATCCCAGGGCGTGTCTGCAGCAGTCAGAAGGGTATTACTGGGTTTTCTGGGCCAGGTTCTCGCATTCCAGCTGCCTAAGGTATTCCTTATACGTCTTGTTAAAAGGATGTGCTGCACTTTAGGGCTCGTGGGCAGTTGTGTTTCACATGCTCTTTAAGTATAGTGGAAGAAAAAAAACCCCTCACATTTTCTTGTGGGAACATTTTCTTATTGTGGGCGAATCAGGGGCTTTTTTGTATTGTTAAAACAAAAATTAGTTTTCTCAAAGAAAATACTGAAAAAAAGTTCACTCCTTTTAATTAATTAAAATTTGCCCTTAAAGTAAAATGTGCCATTTAATTTTCACACTTCTGCCCTTCATAAACTTTCCTCAAAGACAAGTGATTTAAAATAAAAAAGTTTTAAATAGAAACTTTAGTACTTCAAGCAAAAGATAAGAAAAACATGTAATCATAGAATGGCTTGGGTTGGAAAGTTCCCTAAAGATCTCCTAATTCCAACCCCCCTGCTACCTTCCACTAGAACAGATTGCTCAGAGCTCCATCCAGTCTGGCCTTGAACACTTCCAGGGATGGGTCAAACATGTCACTTCTCTGGCATCTTTTCCAGCTCCAGCTGTGCATCTGGATAATGAAAATCAGCTTCCCTATCAGTTATTAAGTGTGGAGGAAGGAGAAGCCTCTCCATTGTTATCTTTACTGTTCCCTGCCCAGAGCCCAGGGGAGGACAGGAGCAGGCAGATGCACCTTCCAGCACAGCAGAGCTGCAGTTGAGTTCCCCGCCTCACTGACCTCGGTCTGAGCACTGCCACTGGAACTGGGACAGCACAGTTTCATGCCCTGCATTTGCACTCTGGATCTCAAGGAGACCAGTCCAGCAGCAATCCCCACAGCTTCTCATGGGTTAAAAAGAATAACCAAGCCCACAACCAAACCCATCCCCTACATTTTCTGTGTAACTGAGATCACAAATAATTGAAGTTCCTTGCCAGAGCCCCTCCTCTGTCAGCCTGCTCCTGAGAGATGCCGAACGCTGCCAGGAAAATGGGCGGAATGCCCAACTGCACCCAAGTGACTTCACTATGGCCAGTGCTGCAGAGGGGCCTCCTGTGGCATTTGCTGAACGCCTTTGGCATCACCGCAGGGGCACAAAGGGCCACGGGGTCAGGCTATTCAGCCCTGCGTGAGCTGCGGGCACTCACCCTCACAGATACGACCCAATATTTTTAATCATTTCAATTCTTCAGGTTTTAAGTTACTTGGGGCCAAGAGTGCTGTATACAAAACAGTCCAGTATTCCCTAAAGAATATCAGCTATGCTGTGATTTGGATGAGTTCCCTGGCATCTTAACTGCTACTTTGATCCTGCAAATTCCTAATCCAGCATCTAAGCACCTTTCTCCAACAATTGCAACTATTCAATCCTTTAAGAAAATGTCTTTATAAAAAACTTGCTCTGATTCTGTAGGAGCAATATGGTTCACTTGTTAAAATGACATTAGATGGACTGGTGAAAATAAGATATCTTGCTCTCCAGCCTTCCAAGCAGCCTGAACATGACTCTGCTGTTACTAAAATCCTTGTGGATTTGCACACAATAAGGGACAAAAATAGTAATGGAAATTGCTGAAACCTAATGTTCTCTGATAACAGGAGTGGTGACATAGTATCTAAATTGCTCATCTCACAAGGCAGACCACATAAACCTGCATTTTTCATTACTGCAGACACAGACATGCATGGAACAGTCAGTCCTTTGCAGCTCACAGCCCATGCTGAGGGAGGACTCCCACTCCAAAAGTCATGATTTCCTCTTACCCTTCTCTGAAGAACTCCAGGTTCTTTCCTGTCCTCATGCTGGCCCTCTCCTCACAGGGGAGCACTGCCTGCCCTGCACTCATCAGTTTCCTCAGCAGCTGCTGCTTCTCCTCCTTTCCTGGGTAGTGTGACTTGTAGTTGCCCTGGTAGAAGCTTCACCTTCTTGAGACCATGCACATCCCTATATTGTGTACTGACTTCTGTTCAGAAACAGATTTTCCAGGAGGGAGAAAATTCAGCCAAACAACAATGTAAGGCTAGGGGAAAATCAGGTGTAATCTCTATCAGTAATAACAGCCGTAGTGATCAGGAGTGAGGACATTGTGAGGGATGAACTCTTCCTGGGGCAGCCTCCTGTCCTCTCTTTTTGTGTTTACTTCATCAATATCAGTTAGCTGTGAATTTGGGGAAAACCGTCTTTTACTATCTAAATATGGGAGCTGGAGGCTGTTCCTGGACTACAGCAGACCTCCAAGTCCTGGTCCCCTGCATGCCAGAGAAGTCTTCACTAGCTCCTGGATGGTCAAGGAGATTCCCTTTCTCCGAAGAGCAAGGTAGAGGGAGGGCTGGAACACAACCAGCATGGATGGAGTGAGGTCATGGCTCTGTTCACTTGGGCTGGGCAATCAGAAGACTTGTGACTTTTGCGGTCTCTTACCCTGAGCAAAGAGAATCGTAACCAGACCCCATAAAAACCTTAGATTACTTAATGTTTTAAAACTAATATTGGGTTTTTTTCCCTTGTTTTCTGGGTTAGGTAATGAAGGGGGAGATGGTGTTCAGCTGCACCAGTTACTTTTGCAAGTGTCATTTTGTAATGAGCAGGACTATAAAGTTCCTCTTTATTCAGAAACAACAAATGTTACTCTTTAAAACAATATGAAACTATACAAGAAAAGTTAACTACCATGATAATTGTCCAAATTAGAAAACCTTGGGAATACTGCAGTGCCCCAGTAACATCTCTACACCTCTGTGTGAAAGCCCCACTAGGCACTTTCCCATTTATCCAGGACACACATTCATAAGCAGTGTATGGAGTGGTCTGCATCTGGAATCATGTACAAGACGTTAGAGACTGGCTCAGAAGTTAAGCCTAAAGCACACAGGCACAAAAAGATCCCATTATTTGGAGGCCAGAAGGTATCATCCCATCCAACTGTCTGTCTAACCGAGACTACTCATTCATTATAATCTTTTACTGAGATTCAAAACACCAGTACAGAATCCAAGCGTAATCCTTTCTTCCAGAATTAGCCAAATTAGTCACAGCATCCACTGTGTTGACAAAGAACTTCAACTAAAAAAACATAGCACCAGAGAACCACACAAAACACTGAGGCTGAGCAGCTGAACAAAGCCTTACTGATCACTTTTTACTGAAAAGGAGAACTGATAAATGATTTTTAAAATGATTGACAAAAAAAAAATCATAAACAACAACTGTCATAGGAGAATAAATAGATACTTCTTTGTATGAAAAAGAATTCTTAGGGGGTTATAGCTTCTCATACTTAACCACTTGCTCCTGGCATAATCACTTTGAATTGCAATGAAAAGGGTAGCAGTGGATCTGAAGATATGGAAATCCAAATTTGATTTTTTTTTTTCCCGCTTAAAAACACTGAAAATCTGGGAACTTAGAAAGTTCTGTGTATGTTTGAGCTCCCCAGATGCAAGGCAAGGATCAAGAAGAGCATTTCAGGCTGTGAGCCCAATGCCCAGCACACACTAAAAGCAACCTCAGCATTGGCTCAGGTAATATCTTTTGGGTAAGACAGCAGCTTTGCAATGCAGTATTTTTAGAGGCTGAGGCTGAGTAGTCCACAAGCTGTGAAGGTTCTCAGAACTGGGCCTTCACACACAGTTTTAGAAACATCAGTTCCCGTGTATCGTTCAATTTAGTTTAATTAGCACAGAAATGTGCTAGCTCATTTTAAAGACATACCCATCTATTTTAGATCAAAATAGATAGAAATAGCACACGTATTGTTGTGGGAGTCCCAGAAGGCTCATCCATCCGGTAAATCTCCATCAGCTCCCACAGTTCTGTGAAGAATTGTGCCAACACTCATTAAAAATACACAAACCAGCTTGGTGAATTTGAAGGAAGCTATTTCACACAGTGATAGCAGAATAGTTAATGAACTCTAGTGCAAACACCATTAGAAGCACAACTCTGATATTGATTGGTGTTTGGGATCCAGCTGCAGTACTTCTCCAGCAGTATTTTCTCTGTTGGTTTGTGAAGGAAGCACTGAGGAGAAATTAACTCCTGAGTTTCAGCCCCAATCCCATCTGCCATACTTTCTGCTGCTCTCGAGGCAGCTGTGCCACAGGTCATGCTGTGCCAGGGTTCTCTGTCCACAGGGACAAGGATCTCCTGGCATTCCCTGTCACCTGTCTGTCTGCAAACTGTCTGCAATGTTTCTAAAATTCATGGCACTATGTTTCTTGCTTCATCATTTTATTCTTTTTTTCTAAGAGCCTTGTCAACATTCTGTTTGACTCACTCTAGCCACACTCCACATCACAATCTTTAATCAGTAAGAAATACACTTAGACAGAAGCATTGTTTATTCTTCTTGCTGTTCAGAAATTAGCACAACTAGCTTTACTCAGCACATGCACATAAAAATCTGTAATTCCTTAATATATGCCTTTTTGCATGTCACCAAACTGATTTAATTTCCCTCCATGCCTTATTTTTTTCAGTGTGCCTTTTTCCACTGTTCCTCTCAACCCTTGCTCTCTTTGCTAGTGACTACCATCCTACCAACTTCCAACTTTCACTTGTACTGCAGAGATAGCACGAAAAGTTGGTTTTCTGTGCAAGGAAAATGTTTTTCATATAATCACTCTTTTTTTGTATTATCTAAATTTTTTTTAAAGCAAGGAT